TGGTACCTTTACGAAGAGTGTGGAGTTTGTCCCGAAGCTGATAAACATGAGCGGTGGACACGGAGTTGTACCGTGCGGCCAAAGCATCCCAGAGGGCAGCAGATGTGGTGAAGCCGCGAGCATGTTTGTGAACGGAGGGGCTGATGACCGCTAGGAGGCAGGCGCGGATCTGTGTGTCAACGATGGTCCAGGAGGTATACTCAGGATTAGGGACGGTTTTATCGTTTTTGGAGATAGTTGGCGCCGGGGCTGCTTCATGACCATCAATCCATCCAAGGAGGAGATTAGGTGAAAGAGCTGTCTGGACATTGAGAGACCATGCCGGATAATTTGTTTCGGTGAGTTTTTCTGGGATTAAGTTGTGGAGACTCCGAAGCAAAAGTTTTACTCCGGAGGGTAAGGACGCCAAAGGATCCGACGGGGCTGCCATGATGGGCGGCGGTCGGAAAAAAAGAGGGGCTAGGTTTTTGAGAGCCTTAGCTCCGATACCATGATACAATTTGATAATAACTTGTCTTATTGAATATTGAGAGATATGGCCCTATATATAGGGAATACAAGAGTAATCAAAGTACAAGTAGGAAAGGAAAGAAGTATCCTAATTTAATTATACTTCCTAATAAAAATTATTGATCAAAAAAAGGATGTGATTGTGATGAATTTTTAAACTAATGATAGATCCGGCAAAGTTATTCTGGGTAAGTTACTCCCTAGGAGCATGCTACATCTACCCCAAAATTTGTAGCCCAAAAGTATGCACAAACATTTTGATGATTCACACTAACAGAAAGTGTTGGTGCATTAACAAAAATTAGCATTATACCAATACAAAATGTTGTTGCATCCCTACGGTAAATGGGATACAAATCTTTAGGGTATGTACAAATAGCTTTGTCCTCCTCCATATCATACTCTAGATTCTGCACCTCTGCCTTCAAAACCCTACATCTATTAATCTTCGGTGCCCAACCCTCTCTCTCTCTCTCCTCTCGATCTGCCTCTCTGCCCTCTCCCTTAAAGCTTTAGATGTAATCTCCACCGCCCCACGTTCATATATATTCCGCTACTCTTTGATACGCATCTCAGATCCCAAAAACAACTTCAATCACAAGGGACAAACTCTGATGAGGCAGGGTGTCGCCGTAGTGACTCGGATGGAGAGCAACTACATTGGCCTAGAGGAGTGGAAGGTCAAATTAGGTAGTGAAGTTCCTCTTTCTTTACTCTAAGCATTTTATGAATTTTTTCTCTTCTTTTTAAAGTTGGGCCCTTCTTTTCTGTCTATTTTTAAAATCATTACATTTTAGTTTTTAGAATTCGGCGCATATTCATTTGTTAGTTCTTAGCCCATTTTAATGCTAAGAGAACTTAATAAATCCTCGATTGCTATTAAAGTATGTAATAATTATAAATTCATAACACGATGCATTTGATATTTTATTATTCTTATTACTATAATGTTACTTTTTATTTTAAAAATTAATAGATAGACTTTACATTGAAATTACAAGTCTGACAATTTTCTCGGTGTCTCTTTCGGGCTCCTCATTCCTTAGGGAAGGGCATGCGCATTATATAATGAACATTTATTTATGAGTAAGTTGACCTTGTTATTGAAGCAATATTAGGTTCACAAACAAAACAATCACAAAATTCAAACAATGAACATACATCACTCATAAAAATTAAAACAAAAGCATAATTTTGTATTAAAAAAACACAACTTTATTAAATAGAAGTACTGATTTTGAATTTAAAAATATCATAAACATAAAAAAATAAAAAATAACAAGTTCAAAATTTAAAAATAGTACTCCCTCCGTTCCACAAAACACTTCCGTTTTAATTTTTTGCGCAACCCATAAAATACTTCTATCCCATCTAAAATGTCTAAAATATCCTTAAAACAACTTCTACCCGTAATAAACTACATAGTGGGGTATGTTTTAGATATTTTAGGTGGAGTAAAAGGGTTTAATGAGGTGCGCAAAAATTTAGAGCGGAAGTGTTTTAAGGAACGGAGGGAGTATTTTTTTAATTCATACAATATCATACTATTAATAAAAACAAATTATGATAGTAGTAGTAGTAATAATAGTAGTGAAAGAATTTTAAAAATGAATAATTCTATACGAATTAGTACTCCATATACGGTAAGATGAAGTAGACAAATAATTACTCTGAATTGAGATACTTTGTAATAATCGGTTTTTAATATTTGTATCACGGTCTCGTCTCATTTGATATTGGTTGGATTTCGGTTCATGATGAAAAAAACAATCCCATTTTAAAACAATATAAACGGTTCGGTACCATTATGGTCCGTTATGGTACCGTGCTAGTTCGATTTTTTTGGCCATCCCTCAAGTAGTATACTTGGAGAACGTACCAATGACATATGGATGCCATCATTGATCAACGTAAACAAACTAATTAAATGTACGAGGGAGAGGGAAAAAAGGTGAGAAAGCCAAAAGAAAAGAATAAGGAAGGCCGGGAATTTCTTTCTTTTTATGTCCATTGAATTGCTTGCTCCTCATCCACCAAAGTTAGAGGAGAAATTCGTGCCTCTCATGCAAAGCCACCATGCCCAGATAAATAAGCCACACCACGAAACTACATCCTCTCTCAAACACATTGTATTCCATATATTATCTTTCCCATCCCTGAAAAACAAAAAAAGTTCAACATTTAGGATAAAAACTAACACAATATGGCAAATAAACTCCAATATGCCCTTCTGATCATCGCGGGTGCCATTTGCTTGGCATCCTTACTCACCTTCACCGATGCCGCGGCTGATCCACACTTCCAAGTCGTTGGAACCGTGTACTGCGACACATGCCGCGCCAAATTTGTCACCCGAGTCTCCGAAAGGATGCCAGGTATTATTATTATTATCATGTTGCGCTAGAAGATAAAAGTATAAGAGGTCTTATATTTTTATATAAATTCCATCTTTGGTTTTATTTAAATAAGTAGATTTTTGTAAGAATTTAGTTGCATCCATGCATGATAAAATATGTTAGAATATAAATAACTTTTCAAGGGCCACAACCATAAACTTGAGCTTTTGGTTGAATTGGTTCTATTGACATGGTATTGGAGCCTTCTTGACGAGGTCACGGGTTCGAAATTCAGCGCCACCCAGTTTTAAGAATATTAAAGTTTCACGTGCAAGGCTCAAAAAAGACTACGCCTGCACGTGAGGGGGCGTGTTAGAATATAAATAACTCTTCCTGGGCCACAACTACAAGCTTGAGCTTTTGGTTGAATTGGTTCTATTGACAAAATATATACATGTGTAGGTGCCAAGGTGAGATTGGAATGCTACAACAACACAGACGGAAAGTTGACGTACAGCGCGGATGGGGAAACAGACAGCAACGGCGTCTACAACATAGACGCCGTGGGCGAACACCAGGACGAGTTCTGCGGCGTCAAGCCGGTAAAGAGCAGCAAAGACGACTGCACCGAGATCATCGAAGACGGTTGGGCGAAAGACTTCACCAGAGTCACCCTCACAACCAAGAATGGCATTGCTGACATGGCCAGGAACGTAAACCCTATCTTGTACTTGAAGGATAAGCCCATTGCTGCTTGTCCAGAGGTGTTCAAGGAATTGCGTTACATCCCAGGAGAAAACCAGCACCCTTGAAGAACCCTTTTCATACATTAAAGAGAGAAAAAAACTAGGGTTTTTGGCACACACATGCAATATTTCAATATGATTTTTCGTATTTATAAGAAATAAAAGAACATATGGATGAATATATGTATTCTAGCTAATTAAGGTTGTTTTCTTAAGATTATTGGTGAATGTTGAAATTTCTATATTAATAATTCAACAACATCACGAGTTTAATTAATTACCAAACCCCATTAATTATTATGTTGTAACTAAACTAACACTTATTTTTTCCTTGTAAATTCCGTAAGCTTATACCTTAGAATGGTTCCATTTCTAATAATGAATACTCCGTATAAGAAATTGCATGTTAAAAGTAATAATATCGGTTATGTTGGATGGTTTTAGACTTTTAGTATCAAGTGTCAACGTTTGTATATTTTGGGCAATTGAATTTATTTATAATGTCACAAAAATTTTACTCCATAATAAACATTAATAGCAAGTTCGAAAGTGTGGATTAGACACTCAACTAACGATATTATAAAGAAAAGTATACTGTTTTTAAAACCAATCATATTTACTATTTAAGGCATCACGATAATTTTTGTTTGCGTGTACTTTTTATAAGAATCATCCTAAATAGAACTAAAACATAGATAAAAGTACCAAAATAGGACTTTCATGTTTTTTTTCCCGGAATAGGACTTTGCATTGTGGTAATGTGACCTTGCATTGTGGTAATGTGGCAGTGTACATGTGCAAATTACTATGCTTTTTTGGTAATGAATATGACCATGGTTCGTAATGTAAATCCTATTTTGGGAATTAAAATATGAAAGTCCTATTTTGGTATATTTTCAAACTTTTAGTCTTATTTGGGTCTTTCTCCCTCTAGAAGTAGGGTTAGAGAAATTTAATGCCTAATTCTATCGGTTCAATAAAACAATCGAGGTAAATGACCGAAATGAAACCCTCAAAAGAGTATGTATTATAATTTCACTCAACAATAAAAAGTAAATATAAAAAGAATTAAACTATCTAAGTAAACTTCTCCCTCCGTCCAAAAACTTCTTTTCTGGTTTGACTTGACACGGAGATTAAGAAAAGTTAAAAAGTATCCCCTTCATTCTCAAAAACCCTTCCTCTTTCATACTCCGTATTTTCTACTTCCAACAAAACAGTTTCACGTTCTATTAAAAACTCCTTTTATCCTTATTTTTTCTTACCCTACCTATCACATCTAGGGCTGGACACGGTCCTGGCACGGAACCAGTACCAACACCCGTACCGGCTGTTCCGCCACCGGGACCGGCAACGGAGACGTCACGGCGGTGCAGGGAACCGGTGCCGGAACGGCCCCACACGGTACCGGGTCAAGTTCTTACTTTTTGTGATCGGAATCGGCGATTCCGGTCCCGGTACCAGTCCATTTTTGAATTTTTTTCTTCCTAAAATTGTGACAAAATTTGCAGCAGGTGGACCGTGGGGAGCCTCCAACGTCTTTATTTGCGTTTGGAGGGGGTGGAGGTTTACCTATAAATACTCTAATTTTTTCCTTTTTCACTCATCAATCTCTCTGCCTTAAATCTTAATATTTCTTAGGGAGAAAGACATAAGTAAGACTAAAACATTGAAAATATACTAAAATAGGACTTTCATGTTTTTATTCTCGAAATAGGACTTACATTACCAAACATGGTCATATACATTACCAAGAAAGTATAGTGATTTGCACATGTACACTGCCACATTACCACAATGCAAAATCACATTATCACAATGCAAAGTCCTATTCCGGAAAAAAAACATGAAAGTCCTATTTTGGTACTTTTCTCTATGTTTTAGTCCTATTTAGGATGATTTTTATATTTCTTAATCTTTACTATATTCTACGGAGTATCTTTTATAATTTATAATTATACATTTTATATTTATATATATTATATAATATAAATTTATAATCATATAATACTAATATATTATATTATTATATATTTATATTATAATATATTTCGAAATTCAAATATATTACTACCTCCGTCTCACTCTCTTTGTCCACTTTTGACTTTTGGAACTGTTCATCTAAGGACTTTGACTCATCAAATTCT